AGGGGAAATGATCACCTACCAAGGAAGCTCTTGATTGTTAAACAAATTCTTGTTGTCAGCACTCAAAGAAATTTATTGAGAAAATTATAGAGAATATTCTAGCTGATGTTATGCCCAATTTTTTAAGGTGGCTGGTTACAGTTTGGCTAAGCTGTGACAAGCAATATTTAGCAAACTTGTGAACTAACTCTCCCCTTTTGCATTCAAAGGATTTCACACCTGGGTTGACAAAAGGATAGAAGTTCACAATAGTGGGTGCAGCATGGTAATAGTTATTAATATGCTCATGTTATGGGAAAACCCCATTAAACAGTTTTTGCGGATGCTCTTGAAAATACTTATAATAGATGTTTTTTTAACCTCAAGATTTTCATTTTTGCGGTAGGGCCACCCTGTTAAGCAAATTTCAATAAATTTGGAAAACTGTATCCAGCCACCTTTAACGTCAATGACACTCTCAGGCATGATGTTCAAACTGTCCTTACATGTTCAAACTGTCCTTATAGCCAATCACTTTGAAGAATTTTGTTATCACCAGTGATAATAGTTTTAATTTGTAGTGGTGGACCCACACTTTACAGGATATTAATTGAAAACCCTGCATGACCTTTTACATCTTTTGCCTCAGAACAGTTTTGGCATTACCCTCAAATTTCAAGGATAGGCAATTTGTGCAAGCCTGGAATTCCCACATTGAGGTACAGAAAGACTCTTAATTACAGTGCAAGCCCTTGTAAGCAGACACTCCACAATGAAGGTGTTAGTAAGTGGCTGGGGTGTAGGCTTCCTATAGCATTAAATTTTGTTCTTGTAAGAGGTACAAGTGATAGATAGGCATCACAATGAACACTGGATGTGTAGAAAGAAAGATTTTTTTCTTTTTGCCACAAGGGTGAGATATAGAGAAACTCTGAGTCTTTATGAGACTACATATTAAGATTATAGCAATTGTCCAACCAGTCCACTTTGGGCTGATTTGTCTGCATGGAGATGAGCATCCAATTTTTCATTACATTTTCTGGTGACTGTCATCCTTAGGAGCTGTTAGATAATGAAGAAGCTAAAGCTGTGTTGATGAGACAATTCAACATAGCAAAAGATGTAAGGAACTTGCATCGTTTACTGGTGAGTTGAATATTACTGATACTTTTCAATGCTGATTGCTATGCACATTCTCATAAGCTGCAAGAGCAAGTTATGAAGTTACTACAAATCTTCAAAATAGCACTTAAGGTGCTCATTTTAAATTAACCCTTTCACTCTGAGGAGTGACCAGAAAGGAATTTCTCGATACAACATTAAGCATTTGACCCCTTCAAGTGATCACCATCAATTCTAATTTCTCCTCATAAAATCATCCTTGAATCAAATAGAAAGGTCAGGAGAATAAAGGAAATGATCACCAACTAAAGAAGCTCTAGATTGTTTGAGAAATTCTCCCTGTCAGCACTTTAGGAAAAGCTTAGAGAACAGTATGGAGAATTTGCAAACTGATTTTAGGGTTTAAACAGTTCATACATTTTCAGTGAGAAAGGTTTGGAGAAGAAAGAAAATTACCAACTGGGTGATTTCATTTGACTTCCACTAAATCCTCACAGCTAAGATTGTCATAAAAGTATATTGGAATGTGTGGAGAATTGATATTTGAATATTAGGAGTGAAAGGGTAAAGATGGCAAAAGTTTTTGAAGGGCAGAACTTATGCAAGGGAAGTTCTTGAACTTTTTTCCCCAAACTGTGGCAAAATATAATTATTTATTTGCCATATAATGACTTGGCATGAATAATTTTTATACAAGGCTGACTCTTAAAGTTTTCTTGACAACACAATTGAGTCGTAATTATTTTTCCAAAGCTAACATGATCACATACTGAAAAAAAATAAGTTCATGTATAAATATGCAAATTGAGGGAGGTGTTAAAGTAAGGATTTTACAGTATGAGTTGTTGAAAATACAGTTGCCCTGACTCATAATATACATTTTATGCTGTAGACTGTTCCAGTTTGCAGTATTTCTGAAGATCATCCATTTATAGAACCAAAGGACTTGATGGATGCACAAACCAAACTTGGAATTGACTGCAAGGCAGCAATGTTGTGTGGTAAACTACCTATAGAGTTTTATCCTGCTTTCAAGAAACTGCAAATATTTATATTAGCTATAGATTTCACAATATGAAGTGCTGTCCACTGGTTTTAGAATGAGTCAGCCTAATAGTCGTCAAGATAAAATCATCAGTGCTCCAATTCACAATTAGAATCCATGGTGCTGTGCAGCTGTTCAATAACAGATCACAGAAGACATCGAAATGTGGTAAGAAATGGCACAGACAGCACAGCTTAGTGTGTTCCTACTGCATTTTGATATCATCTGTGATCTATAACTAAACAGAAACAGGGCAACATGCAATCTATTTGTTTTATCCAATAACAAAGCAAAGTTTGAAAATAGTGACTCTATCTGTGCCCCTGTCCTCCTGGTCATAAGTAGGAACCAATCAAAAGGAGTGTACAATTCAGCTTTTTATGTGAATCTCTGTGATCAATCTTTCAAGCTGAGTCTTGTTTCACTTGCTACAGAACCAGAAATTGGTATTTTCGTGTCAAAGTTTACATCCTCTTGAAATTTTTAATGGGAAGAATATCATGCCTTGAAGACAACATCAAATAGGAGTATATTTAATAAAATGAATAAATTTGCATTTATTGTTAATCTTTTGTAGGAATTTCTGTGCTGGAGTTATGTCTTATCATTGCTATGAAGCATTTGATCACACTATCAGAAGGAGATTCTTTTAACTTTGAGATGGTTTACCAAGGTATTTTAGAATCATCATTAGCTTTATCATTGCCCATCATGCTTTGGGAAATATTTCCCCCTCCCCCCCCCACTTCTTCCTTCAAACCCAATTTTATCAATTAAAAATTATGACACTGACTATGTTTTGGGATTCTAAAAATTATCCTTCCCTTTGGAAAACTGTTTGTAACTGCTCTAAAACTTTTACCAAGGACACTGCCACTTTGAATCTTGCCATGGCAAGTAATTCAGCTTTCTACCCTCTCTTTTTGCATCAGTTCATCAGTCAAGGTATTAAATTAATAGGTTCCTTGTTTATTTGCAGAATATCAAAAGTTCGCTCAAAAGAAAGGATTTGCAATTCAATCTTTTGAAAAACCGGTTGTTCTAAAGGTTCGTGTTATCTATCAGCAATAAACCTACTACAAAAGTAAAATCCCACATCAAAATGCCATGTCATCAGTTTTGGTGGTCAAAGTATGAGAAACATTAACATATATACAATGTTATGTTATGTTATGCAATATTTATACTTGAACTTTATCTCCAGTGACCATTTTAGGGTTTGAAGTTTCCAAATGGGAGTTTAAAGAGATTTATTGTTGCACCTGTACATGTATATCAGCTGATTCACCAGTTTCTTGTGTTTTAGGCATTTGAACATTTAACAGCATTGGAGTTTGTGAAGTCAATTGATAGTATTGCAAAAAACACCCCTAAAGAATACAGACTCGTCACTTTGCTAGTTGATCCAACACAGATAAATGATGCACTACAGAGATATCCTGACTGTCCAACAGAAGTCAAACAGTGGGCTACAAGTGCCATTGTATGAGTATGCTTTGCTGTATATATTACATTTCCTACAGGAAAAAGCTCTATCATGGAAACTTTGTCAGGCTCTGAATATATTTTTGTACTTTATGAATAAATGTTTCTGCTGATTTAAAATCAATTCGTTAGTCTCTTCACTTTTTTTTTTTAACTTCTAAGCATCCTGTTCAAGCTTTCTTAACCCTTTCACCCCCAAGATCTAATTAGTAATTTTCCTTACTATCTGCCATACAATTCTTATGTTAGTTCAGAGAATTTGGTATTGGATCAACTAATAATCCCATGATTGATATTCTTCTCGATTCTCATCACCTGCCTGCTTGATATTGTATTGATATTGTAAGGAGAAATTCTGTCTTGGTCACTTGTGGGAGTGAAAAGGGTTAATTACTTCTCTTAATTCAGCTTCACTTCACACTTCCCTTGCTCCTAATTACTTTAGTACAGGGTCCTCATTAAGTGCCAGCTGTTAGCTTAAATGAAGTTACCTCAAGTACTGAGCCGCCTGCTTTGCGTGAAATAATGTGCGTAAGTTATGAACAAGGAGAACTACACCTCTGCACCATGCTGAGAAAGGTATACTGTACCCTCTTCTAGTTGCTCATCTAGACACACCAAAAATTTTGTAACCTATGGGACTCAACTTTGATTGAGGCTCTTAGCCTATCAGAGCAACATGGAGAAAGAAACATCAAGGAGTAAATGGAAAATATGTGAGCATAGAGAATGATTTATCTGCCATTTACTTGTATTTTGTGACACATTTGCCTCTATTAGGGTGGTAGTGGAGAAGGCCTTTATTTACACTTGACTTTCTTAAAGCCTTATGGTTCATGTGGGGTTTTCTACCTTGTTATGTTAGTCAGTACTTCACAATTACATTTTATGCAAAAAAAATTGGTAAAAATATGTATCATAACTCCCATAAGTAAAGGCCAAGAAGTGGCGTGATTTCATGTGGCTGTGTGCAGACTTTAGTTGTGAAAATAAAAAAGGGAATGATCAGTTGAACAAAGTGTTGAATACTTCCTATTTTTCTTTCATAATTATATCCCTCTTTCAATTTCACTCTTGTTTAAAAATAACAAACTGAGTCACCAAAGAAAATTTCAAAAGTGTTTTTGGGGTCAAAATTCACCGCATCTCCACTTCTTCCGCCATCTTTGATATGATGGGGGTGATAACTGACCGAAGAGATGCCTACTTGGAGGCTCATATCGAGATTTAGCCAATAGAATTCTAGAAAAGTGTTAACGAGAACCAATCAGATTGTTGCGCGGGAAACATCAACCAATCACCAGTGTAACAAAGTAGCGGGAACAGGCTGCAGAAACTTGCGCGTTATGTTTGTTGAGATGAAAGAAAATATATGAACTTGAATTTCTACCTCTTTTATATGACGAGAGGTTAGCGGGAAAGTGCGGATTTTTTCTCGCTCCCTCATGGAAGCTTTCCGAAAGCTTGAGAAAATTGGAGAAGGAACATACGGCGTTGTCTATAAAGCAAAAGATATCGAAACAGGACAAACGGTCGCTTTGAAAAAGATTCGGTTAGATGCGTAAGTATTACAAAGTTTTGTGCATGCTAACCTTCGGTTCATCCCTGGAATTTCCAATATTTAGTTTCACTTTAAGGCCTATTCGAAAATTAAGGATAGTTTGACTAAAACTCCTCGTGTTTTTTGCAGTAAAATTGAGGAAAATGGCTTTAGTTTCTTTAAAAGCGTGGGGATAAACGTGGAAACCTGCGAACGCTCATTGTGAGCTGGCATGAGTTGTTTAGCCATTTATTTTGTAGGCTAGTTAAAATTGCGTTACCTTGCATTTTTCTCTCAGGGAATCTGATGGAGTTCCAAGCACAGCAATAAGGGAAATTTCTTTACTCAAAGAACTAAATCACCCAAATGTGGTGAGGTAGGTGAAGATAATTGAAAGCTGTAACTGTTGTGGTTGTTTAGACCTGTGGTTTCTCTTGCCTTGAGCTCACTGCGATTAAAACAACGGCAATCAAATATTGAAGACACTGTCGGTGACTATCGTCAAATGGTACGAAAAGAAAATGCTTCTCTAAACACCAAATAAAAATACCAAAAGTCCTGTAGGAATTTTGTTAATGAATGAATGAGTGGCGAATGTTGGACTCGACCAAAATGTAGTTAATTTCAATTTGTGAAAACCACCCAAAGAGCGTAGGATTATTGTCGTGAAGCCTCTAGAACATCTCAGACGAATACGTTATTTAATTTTACGATTGTATTTCAACTTCAGCGCTTTGTGTAGCATTTTACAGCTAGGGAAAAGAAAACTATTTGTGGGATCTTCGTGTGTCCTTAATTTGTGTCGTGTGATGTCCATTGCGATGTTTTTTCCTTATGTTAATTGGGTTCCCTCTTCTTCTGAAATCCCACCAGAGTCACTCAGCCTCCGTTTAACGAAACTATTTCATACATTTCACTTAAGTCACGTTTTTTATAGTTAGATTGAATGCTGGTAATCTCATAGCACTGCATCTGAGAATATTAGGCTGATTTCGATAGCCATTGCGTTCGCTATAATCTCTCAGATTGTTCATTTCGTTAGAAAGTACATAAATAGCGCTCACTGTCTAATTTGACCTGGGGTCAAACGGTAGAGTAAGTTTTCAAGGTTGATATTTTTGATAAGCAAAAGGAAAGCGACAAAATCGTTCCTTGTCATCTATTGTTTGAATTACACCACCATATGTATTATACCCACGTGTTGACAATGGTGTGAACAATGGAGCTAAGCTTGCCCCTTTTTCACAAATGGACAACTCCTTGTAAACTATCGGGATTCAACAATTTAATTCAATTCATTCCTCAACTTGCAGTTTTGGCATTGTTGTTTCTTTTTCTCTATTGTCATCTTAATCACAGATGGAACCTAGGTTTTGTCTCAGTTGCATTAATAATATTAAAATAATAAATATTACGTCAATAATGCTGATAATCTTGATGAAAGTAATCTTGTTTTACTGTCTGATTGGCTGTACTGTAAAAATACCCTGTCAAAACATAAGGAACATAAGCAACATGCTTTCTTTTGTCCAAAAAGCTGATTCATCTGAAGATTTGTATTACTAAGTTTTAAAACTTTGAGAGGAATTGGGAGGCAGTTGTAATCTTTCTTTCATTCACACAGATTGTTGGATGTGGTTCCCAGTGAAAAGAAGCTCTTCATGGTGTTTGAGTTCCTTGATAGAGACCTTAAAAAATACATGGACTCAGTACCTGCCGGTGGAATTTCACTACCTTTAGTCAAGGTAACATAATTTCCATCAGTGAAATTCTACTATGCCTCAGTGTTAACTGTGTTATCTGCCTCAAATTACTTTTTCACCTGCAAAGAATCGAATTCCAGACCTTAAAGTTTTCCTCTTGGATGTTCTGCAACTGAGGTACAGTGAACCCAATGATGAGCTAGATCATTATTAGATCTATATGTCACATGCAGCCTGCTTACTGTAACGATCAGCTATCTTTTTGAACAGCCTAAATCCATTAAACAATTATGCTGAGATTAACCATCTGTGCCAACTCTAAAACTTTTTATTTCCAGAGCTACCTCTATCAGTTGTTAAGTGGTATTGCATTCTGTCACTCACACCGAATCCTACACAGAGATCTAAAGCCACAGAATCTTCTTATAGACGCTCATGGATCCATAAAGCTGGCAGATTTTGGTCTTGCTAGAGCTTTTGGAGTACCAGTTAGATCTTATACACATGAAGTAGTAACCCTGTGGTATAGGGCACCTGAAATTCTCTTGGGTTGCCGTTATTACTCCACCCCCGTAGATGTGTGGAGTATTGGATGTATATTTGCCGAAATGGTCAGTACAGCTGCTTTTTCCCCATAACTGCCTCTTATCCCATCTTTAATGTGTTCTCTTGTTTTTAAACATACCCATTGACTTTTCACAGATAACCAGAAGAGCTCTTTTCCCTGGAGACTCAGAAATTGATCAGCTATATCGAATTTTTAGGTAAGTTAAGGGAACAAAAAAGATTTGAAACATATCTCCAATTAATACTGTAAAAATTCTCAAGGGTTAGTTTTCTTCAAACCATCACAGAACTGACACCATTAGTCTCTTAATGTTAATTGAAAGAAGATTCTTATCCAAAGAAGAGATATTAAGTAGTGTGGCACTTTACTTCACAGAACATTAGGAACTCCAGATGAGAGACTATGGCCAGGAGTGTCTGAGCTCCCTGATTATAAAACATCTTTTCCCAAATGGCCTGTGCAAAATCTTCTCCAAGTTATTCCTGCTTTAGGTCAATCAGGTGCTGATTTATTACAGGTGAGGCTAGGGGATATTCACTGAATGATGAAACAATAGGAAAAATTGATGAGAAATCATTATCACTCATTTTGCAGGCTAAAATGGAGATCAGCTCATGTGATTGATCAGACTGTTTTGTGAACCTTTTCTTTTTTTTCAGTTTTAATTCTCAAAGCCCTTCAAACTGATAACAATGGTAACAAAGTATATGTTCTTGGGTACAAATGTTTCGTTTGAACCCTCCCCTAGCAGCACAGGCTAAACTGACTCGTAGTCAGTTACTTCAAACATTAATTCAGTTGTTTTATTGGTTGTAAAGGTTTATTCAGTCCAAAGTAAACACTTCATGATCTTGTAAATGAAAGAAATTCATAACTTAATTTATCCAACTCTGCTTGTGAGATAATCTTCAACAGTGCATTTTTGTTATTACTTCCTTGCAGCAAATGCTTAAATATGAACCAACAAGTCGCATATCAGCCAGGAATGCTCTAAGTCATCCTTTCTTTAGTGATGTAAGAAGAAGTGCACCAAAATCATGAACCACTTTCAAGGTTCTCCATCCTCCCCACTTCCATAACTAGAGGATGACAGAATAACTATTTATAACTAAAAAAGTGTTTATAAATGTCACACAAACTTGTTCCTGGAGCTCAATACTCATGGAACTCACCCAAACAGCATGGTGGCCATAGTTTTGTGCTATTTCAGATAAGGCACTTTTCTTCTACTCTCATTACAATATGGTCACAAGAACATCATTTTAAAAACTGCAGTAGAAATGCAGTTTCCATACTTCTTTCTTTACAAGATGAATTAGAATTATTGCAAAGAAATGGCTTAGAGTCAGCTATATTTTAAAGCCACTTCAAATGCTGGTGCTTTTAAATTTACTATTTTGTGGAATTTCTGGTCATTAGCTTTACATTACTCATTGTAAATACTTGTACTTGTGTGCCTGTTGTACTGTAGATACATGATACCTTAAGATGAAATGTTTCCATTGTATTACTTAATTTAACGTACTGATGAAAGGCACTAACAGGAGTGCAAATATTTGAAAGAAAATTGTACATGTATGACAACAGAAATAATACATTATATAATTCAAAAATAAATATTTCAAAATATATAATGTTCAGTTTTTTTCAAACACAAACTTGTGGTCTCTGAAATATTTGCTTCTGAGCACTTGACAGTATTTGTTCCAAATGACTCCAAGAATCAGCATCCATCCCACTCAAGGCAAGAGTCTTGAATAAAATATACAAATGCTAGCCAAAAAGTTATTTTATTTAAAAACTCTAAATATATTACTGACACGGACAATTTTTGCAAGTCCTATACAATTCTCCACATAAAAATAAGCCATTAACAGATCTGAATCTCCTAAATACTCTCAGTGCTGGCAATGACTCTAGATCTCTCAAAACAACCAAGATTTACTGCAATCAAGATCACAATAGGTATATAAATGTAATGAAAACTTAACCTTTTCTTTTTTTCTTTTTAATAAAAGCTAACACGAACAAGAATTTTGACTGGGAAGGGCAAACTATCAAACAAATAAAAAGAAATACCTTGATCAAGACAGGTGTTCTTTAGCAAAGATGTGCAAATAGTAAAATACCAAAAGAAGAACATTCTTTAATTAATACCACAAACAAAAAAAACCACAGCCAGATTATAACGGCATTAATGGCTAAATAAACATTCTAGAAATGTTCCACAGTCTTTTTGTGATGAGAATCACAAATTTAACCAATAAACCAGAAACAAGAAATGAGCCACAGTCCATAAAATCAGACTGATGTTACAAATACTGTCTTGTATTGCCTTGTTTTCCTCCAAAAAAGGATTTGGTCACACCTTGTGCTAACACTACTTGCAGTTACATATTTCCTTGCAAAAAACCAAGGGAATTCTACAGAAAATACAAAATTAGTTGACAATATTGAAATATGGTTACAATGAACTATCACAGTAGCCGAGTGTATACTATATACACATGGCATCTTATAATAGCTTTTAATTACTTTTGAATTTGAAATTTGAAGTGCAAATAAATACATTGCAAAGGGTGTTTGACAAGATACCAGAGAATGTCATGTGCAATCAAACATTTTAATGGAATTTTATTTCATGAATCTGTTCATTATGGCAAACAATGTTTATTGAGGACAAACTTTGTGAAGAGAGAGAAATTGTCCACAATTGCTCTAAAAGCAAAATCCCACATAGCTCTTAAGATGAAATTAAATATACACATGAATGTTTCTGTACATACTCCATTAACTGCCACACCATAATTTTTTTTTGTGACTTAGTGCAGAACTTATTCAGGGGCTGTGCTGAATTGAGGGCCTTGCCTGACTAAATGTCCTCATATTTCTTAAAATGAATAAGAGTAAAATAGGAAAATATCCTTCATTGTCTTGATGGAAAAATGCATTTGCCTTCTGCACTGGCTTGCTCTTCCTTGGCAAAAATGCACTTTCCCCTTTGTGGTCTGATTCTGAGAACTGCATTAATGCTAGAGGAACTGTCCTTTATTTGCAGTGAAGACATTGTTTTTAGAGAAATAAGACCAAAGTGTTCCTCATTTGTATATAAAAGTTTTATTCCCTGAACAAGCTTACTGTATTCAAGTAAAATTGTTATGTTATGTATTAAGTTCTCCCTCATTTGAGAAAAGTGAAGAATATCTTTCTCTTATCTTCAAATTAGCTCAAAATCATCATCTTTAATCTTCTATTTAAACAAACATGTACTTGTCTCTTCCCAAAGATTTATTATCTAATGTAAACTTTCAGCTGCCCCTTGCTGTACACTGTTATTATGTCTTCAGTACACTGACCATGTGACACATACAAAATTCAAAGAAACATTTTTTTTACTACAGTTATAACAATGTAGCATTGTCTAAATTTTTTGGCACTTCTAGTCACCACTATCAAGGACAAAACCTTCCAGATAATACCTTCTACAAACAAATAGGCTAGCCCAAATCAGGACAGCATTGTCTACTGAAGAAAAACAGAATAGACATATAAAGCAAGCCAATTCAAATCAATGTTTTTTCCAGTGGTTTCAATAACTTTTTCCATAAGTAGCTGGCAGTTGTGTAATAGGTGGGTATGCCATAAGACAAAATCCAAACACGAGAACCTGCTTGAAGCATAGACAGACAGCTGTCTTGAAGATGGCAATGGACTGCCAGTGACCAACTTATTTAAACACCTGCTTAATCCAGGGTTTCCATTGGCATACTATAGTTGTAAAGTTTAGGCTGAAAACTCTTTGTCGTTATGGTCACTCTGTATTCATGGTTACCCAGGTACAAAGACTAAATGTTGGCAACCATTAGAGTTGATTTTCTTTCCTAAACAAAATCCAGGCTCCCAATGTAACCATGAACTGATAGCAATTGTATGATAGGTCTAACTTTTCTAGAGAAGTCCAATTCCAGTACACATTCTCACTGATAAACAGAGAGTGTGTTTTGCCAAAGTATTTAAAGTTGACATTCATACAGTAGTCATGGTCATACTGTTGCTTGAGGATTTATCCACCCATGGATAAGTGGCTATAATAGGTGGGGCATTAGACACAGGACTATTGACACTTGACAAGCTCTGTGAGTGTGATGTGGGGTAGTTTTGGAGAACCTTCTGCACAGGGTTACCACTTGATGAGACGACAAGACCGTCTGGGTAGTCCTTTAACAGTTCTGAGAAACGTTCCTTCACACACAGCGCAGAGAGTCTGGCATCTCCATCTTGATCCCAACAATCTTCTATAGTTTCCTTCAATGTTCTTAGACCCTTTAAAGTTAGAGCAGATCTAAGCATTGATTTTGTTTTTCTTATCTCCTCTTAAAGCTGCTTATCTTCATCACAGTCAATTAACAAGCAAAACATTACATGGGACAAATTCAATCGTCCTGACAGAACTTGCCTTGTTGATAAAGGATTTGACATAAAGCATTAAAAGGTTCCATTCAAGAGTTACCAAATAAATTGTCAAATCTTTCCCTGTTTGTCCTTTTGTGTGAGTGTTTGTTTTTATCTGTTTTTCATTTTGTTGTTGTTATTGTTGTTTGACTTTGTTTTTTAATGTCTCCAAGAGCTTCCAGTGCCTCTCAAAGTTCTTAAGACACAGGATATTTCACCAAGGAAATAAAAGCAATTTCAAGTAAATGGTAGATTTCTCACAAAAAGTCTACACTTAAACAAATGCATTGAAAACTTAAATACATGGGAAAATAAAACTCTCATCATCTGATAATCAAGATGAGAGCAGTCCAAAAAAGACTGTTGTTAAAGACAGAGATTGATTTTTTTACTACCTGGGCAGAAGTTCTTAACAAAGGTAAATGACTGTTACTTCATACTCCATTTCTGATAATTACTTCTAAGTTTGTTCAACTTTTGTTCCCTTTCACCAACAACCTTGTTTTTCAAGGGTACCCTCCCTCATGTGATCTGACCATATTAACAACTGCATTTAAAATTACTAACTGGATGATTATGTTTCCACACATCTGGAAACCCTGGCCTCTTCTTCTGCCTGGCAACATAATCTTGGATGTCTTCACTTGTGATGGATGAGCCCAGCTCAGCTTCAAATGGTGGCCTGAAGTCTGGCACAGGCTCATCTGGAGGGGAAAGAAGATGAATGTTCAGAGGGACACATTTCAAACAAATAAGTAACTAAAAGAAAACTCCAAAAAATTATTGCTTAAGTCTACCTTCAAGACCAATAACCATTTGCAAAGCTGTTGAGCCTTTATTTCTATAGCACAAATTGACTAGGAGTGTCTACTCCCAAATACAACAAACTCCATATCATGATTTCTCTTTGGAATGGCTGATTGTACAGTTTCTGAAGCATACTTTTCCTTTAACAGACAGAAGAGCAGTACCAAACTTACTTCCATAAATGTCAGACCATCTCATTCCTACTTCCCAGAGCACAATTGACATGGCATAAACATCGATTTCTTTCAATGATGCCTCACACTCCCTTAAGTTGACAGCTCCATCTAAAACTTCAGGAGCCATATAACGAAGTGTTCCAACCTACAATAGAAAATGTCTGAGCATCACAAGGGGAAAGTACATGGCTGTTGATGATCCTGCCTTACTTGATTGAATTGTGCAAACTTACCTTAAATAATTTACCCTGTAATAAGAATGCATATTAAGGAAAGATCTCTCTGCATCTGTGACCTGAGCTTTCAAAGCTTTCATTGAACTGATATGTTATGAGGTTCTGTACTGAAAAGACAGTCCGTACCATTTTCAGCATTGTTCAAGTTTGAAATTATGCATATCTTAGTTATCAGTCATACCTCTGTGATTATGTCATCACTTCCTTTAGTAGCTCCAATTTCTGGCATTTTCATGGCAAAACCAAAGTCCGACAGTACACAAGTGATGTTTGGACTGACCAGTATGTTCTTACTGCTTATATCACGGTGAACAAAACATGGTTTACCTTCATTGTTATCTGAAAAAAAAAATAGTGAAAATATCATGATAAACATGCTTGGTTACTGTAAGAAGGGTCTCAAGGAAATGACATCACATATGGTTCTAAGGAGAGGGAGAAACAAACCTGGAAAACAAAAAGACAGTAAACTTGATCTACCACAAATGAAACCAGAAACTTAAAGCTCTAAAGGGGTAGAATTTCATTCCATCAACTAATCAACTACAAGTGTACTCTAAGTAGGTGATAAAAAATGCCAAGAACTGGTCAAGTTACAGCTGCAATGATTTCAAGGAAAAATTACAGGTTACGCAATTGAAGTACAAAACTTAGGGCTTGAACAAACCAAAAGAAGAAATTTATTGGATCAACTTCAAATCTTGCATGAAATAAATCAGATTCTTTCACAGGAAAGAAGAACCTAAAGAACCAAAAATGACCAAAATTTTAACCCTCTAGTCTCTGAGAGACACAGGTGTGAATCCCATCAAAGCCTAAATATTTTCTTTAGGGCTCTTTTCTGCAATTGCTAAAATTGTAGTTTGCCTGTGAGAATCGTTACTTTACTAAATCAAAGTAAAGTAAATTTGAGGTTACTAAAATACATAAAGAGGACATATTGAGCCTTTCACTCAAAAAATCTTTTTACTAATTCCTCTAATTGTGTACTATTCTTAAGATGTTATTTTGCAGAATTTGGTATTGAATCAACTAAAAATCCCCTTATTGATATTTTTCTCTATTTCCATCACATGTCTGCTTGATTATGTAAGAAAAAATTCTGTCCTAGTGAAAGAATTAAAGCTCTTGATTTACCATCATTGTGTAAGTAAGCCAGCCCAGATGACAGTGAATGGCCAAGACTGCACATTTCTTGCCAGGTCACAGTGTTACACTTTAGATACTGCAACAGGGAACCTTTACTGTGGTATTCAGTCACAAGCAAATATTCTGGTCCATAACTTTGCTGCCTTTGAGTTGCAAAATAGAACTGCAATAAAAAAAATATATAAACTTGTCGATAGTATGAAATTAACTTAGGGAATAAATGCCATCTAGTAGCCTCAGGTGTAATTTTCTGGACTACTCAAAAGATTAAACTGAAGATTACAGAGGGTAAAAAAATAATCAATGAATTTGAAAATGTCATCAAATTTGCACATATTTTTTTAACTGTTTAGCAGGGAACCCTTAAGTTAAGTAATATTAGATCATGGTATTAGATTTTTCCTCCTGCTGCTATACAGAACTATTCAACTGAATAATCCTCTGTTAATTTACTCTCATCATTCACTATCCCATATATAAATGGACACCCTGAACATGCTGCAGCAACTTTATTTGAAACAAGTACAAACAGAACTGCTTGTCAGACACCCTTCACTCCAACATGTTGCCTGAATTGTGCTGCCCTTTAATACAGAAAAGTCCATTGATGCAAACATACCTTTAAGATACTTGGATGTGATAACTGTCCTTCATACACCTCCCGTTCAGACTCCCACGTGCCCCTGTGCCCTGGCGGAAATACTTTGACAGCCACTACTTCCCCTTTAAGGTAACATCTCCACACCGACCCATAGCGCCCTTGTCCAACCATTTGTTCAAAGTGCAAACCACTGATGTCAAGTTCAGGTCCAGGAGGTTCCTTCTCTTCGGGGTCAGCTGGATCATATTTACTTTTAAAGCATTTAGACTTGTATGCATAGATAACACCCACTGTCATGCATACAGCCAGAACAACAAACATAACACATGCCACCACAATGGCAACCCTGTCTGATCTATCCCCAGCAGAAGCTGTAAACCAAGGAAGTAAATAAAATGTTAAAAATTTGCTTTTTTGCATCACAATCCACACCCATTTCTCTCCTGTATATGGGAAGAAATGCTGTCCAGTAATTCCTTAAGGTGTAATGGTTACAATGGTGAATGTACTTGTACTTGCTTTAAATCAAAGTCAAATTCTTACTACATTCTGTAAAGGGGGTAAGTTTCCAAAGAAACTGTGGTGCTGCATCAGGTAATTTGGTTTTTTTTTTATGACATGAGTAAACAATGTGAATTGACTTCCATGAAGAGCGCTAGTCATTCATGACAACAATACATCAGCTTTAACAGGTCTTTCTGTTGGCCAATTTAAATTGTCAACTCTGTAGTACTAGTACATGTGTATTTGCTCACCTGTTGACATGTCTGTTGTTGCCATTGTTGTTGTTGACTCGGTGTAATAAACAGGAGTGAAATTCCTGTTACACATGTGGATGTTGCAGCAACAAAACCCAGAGACATTATGACTTCTGAAGGCATCATAATTTGGATTTTGAATACAATCATCTTTACAGTCTCTAAAAGCCTCATTAACAGACACTTGAAAACACCCTTTCTTCAAAACTATGTAAAATGTTTCATTTCTTTCATTGACATTGTCTTTCCACAGAACGAAGCAGGAATACTCTGCAGTATCACAGGTTTCATTTCCATTCAAAATGCCCTTTTCTGGGTGGTATGATTCACATGTTACACCTTTTCCACCCTCACAAGAACCTGGAAATAGAATAAAAAGAGCCAAGAGTGTTTCGTTGGGTAAAATTACAAGGGGGGAAGGAGTTAAATATTAAGTGATCATCAGTGTAATTAACCCTAGTTTGGAGGTTGAAGGACTCTCTCAATGTAACACGGGCAACACCTGTGCCACTGAGTGAATTCTCTACACATTTCTCAGAGAAAAACAGCTTATATACAGCTTTGATCTAAAAATACATCACCTCTGTCGCAGAACCAGATAAACATAAGCAGCCAAAATTGGACATGTTTATAAATTTGATGTGATCAAATCATGGCATAGTTCAATTTTTGGTCAACAAACCCATTTCCCTTGTCAAAATATGCATATGAGTGTGTATCAGAAGAGGGGCCAATATTTTCTAGTATCATTGTATGTTAAGCTGCGTATATTTCGTTTATTTCTCTCACGTAAGACTGTCTGCGGTTAACATTCATTCACACCCTGATAGCTAGAGGGCAATTTCTTGTTTACTAAGAGCATCGTCAAGGAGCGATGAAAATTTAACTTTCTTGACAGTATGCCCTATCTACCTCTAGGTGAGGATGTAGACGTGGATAACTTCTGTTCCAAGATTAGTGCTCCAAAATTCATTCGCCATAGACGTTCAGTCTTCGAGATTGATCTCGCACAAACCCTCGAGGCCATAAAGTCTTGAAATGGATTTAATGCGGTTGTCCCGAGGTAGAATTCTTAAGCATACTAGTCAATTTACTGTCTAGATAGGTTTGCTGATGCATTCTTACCTTGGTTCACACACATCAAGGATGTAATAACGAGCAGGAATAGGAGACAGGAATCTTCCATCTCAACAAACGATCTTTACCAAACTGCAAAAGGATAAAATCGTTAGCGTGACTATAGCTTTTGATATGGAAGCACCTTGTGTGTGTCTGGGCGCCACAAAGGGCAGCAAATCGAATAGTTCTTCCATAATGCGTAAGCCCTCGAGAGACGAAAGTATATTTGAAAACAAATGCAAATTTAAGCAAAACAGTGACTTGGGAAAGTTCTAGGTCATAGTAGACAATAGATATCTTAAAACTAGAGTACTTTTGCCCGAAAAAGAGAAAGATTTTGAATTGAGACTGTTTTCTTAACCATGTCTGGCTGCGCGGAGTTGTCCATAAATCAAGAGCAGAGGTGATTTGGTGTTTTCGGGTTTTCGTTTGACTTCCTAAAGTCCTTCAGATATAATTTTTTGCAATAAAACGTAAGATAAATTCTACATTCAACTCTCAGAGATAACAAAAAGACGTTTTTACAGCCATTCTAAATCACATCTACTAAGGCAGCCTTCAAGTCGCCATTAGCTGAAGGGGTACAAATGGTCTCAGCTAAACGAAAAAATCGAGATTTTGGCATACATTAACAAACTCTAACCTTTCTTGAAAAAACAGCTGTACATTTGGCATGAAGAATCAACAAGACAACGCTTCGAATGATAAATATTTCCTTGGAATCAACGATGGTGTAGTAAATACACTCTACCTCCCAACAGCGAATATTTAGCTGCATGTATTGAATATCGACAATAACCAATCAGATGCCTCGAGGAGAGCACGTCAATCAAGAGAAACTTATCTCAGGTAGAAATTTGATCCCCTGTATAATAAATTCCTTACTTGTTATGGCTAAGCGCTATTATTTCGGAATAGCGAAATCATGCAGCTGTTTTCGGTTCTTGTGAAGACTTCTCAACTCTCTGACATGTCTTTGTAAAGACGCCAGAAACATACGTAGCTTGGTCACGTACTTAACGCAACAATACGGAGAGCTTTGTTTTCAATGGGAAGGGACGATTTGACTCTTGGAAGAATTAACAAAGATTATGTTTTTAGTCTATGGCTCCCGCATGTCTGCGTCCTTTCGGAGTCAATATTGCCCAAACGCCATTAAACATAAAACAAATTATGTATTTCTAAACTTCGTTCTAGGTGATTTTCTATCACTGAAGACGACATTAATAGTTACGTGATGTTCAAATAACCTTCAAAATGCCCTGAGGCTTGCCCGCTTAATTTTCAGCAGATAAGCCGATTGATTAGACACAATAGCGTTTGTCGCGAGAGGAGGGTTGTAAACAGTTTATTTCAATATAAATCCTCGAGTAGATTCATTTTTTTCTTTATATCTGTTAATTCATCAATTCAGCCAGTCATCGATTCATTCACCCCTTCATCTATGCATTCATTCCCGATCGTTCATTCACTCGCTCCATACCTCATTCATCCACGCACGCACGCACGCACTCACTCACTCACCCTCGCTCATTTATTCAACCACTTTCCAACCACGAACGCGATCGCAATGTAGACCTCATAAAAATCAAAGGGCATGATGTTTGAATTGTGGCTGAATTTCAATTTTGATTAAATTTTTCCCATAATTAAATGATCTATACTAATTTTAAGTCGTCATTTGAAAATAAAACAAGGAAATGAAATTATAGACTGTTATATTTAATTTTAGAGCAGGGGAAATGAACACGCCGAAGGAAACAAAGGATGAAATCTGTCGGTTTTTAAGAACAGAAGAACCGTCTGATAGCCTCCGAGCAGACACTCATAATTAGCAATAGCGTTTCGGCAAAAGCGTTTCTTCGGCCGTGAAAAAGTACGAGGCAACGGAAAGAGGTCCTCAGGGGATCTAGTCTGATACCGTCTGAGACACATTTTGATTCTTGATGTTAAAAAAAAGAAAAGAAAGAAAAAAAAAGAAAATTGACTGCTAATGAGGGAGGGGGGTAATCAGAATACTACAGAGTTTTAGGGGGGATAAGAGGGGGGGTTAATTAGAATACTACATAGTTTTAGGGGGGAATAGGGGTATTTTATTGTGACGCAAGCAAAATCCTCCAACCCCAACCAGGTCTCTAAGGCGACTCTAATCGCAGAGTAAAACATATTTCGAACTGAGCTGGTTCACAATTCATTTTCTGACTCCAGAGTGGAGTAAGGTTTGACAGTGTTAGAACGCGAGGTGTGAGTAGTTCCTGACCGAGACGAAATATCATCTTCAACTCTACTACTCTCATCGCCAGTTGTTGTGGATGCAACGACATTCTTCAACTCTTCGGATTTAACATAATAAACGAGTTCATCTTCTTGGTTGTAAAAATCGTCCATATCTATATCACCAAAAATTGTCTCTCTTCCGCCTCGGGAGGGTTGCGCCTGTTTCTTCTTCGGCAACTTATTATCACCCTGTTCTTCATCTTCCGGTGGTTTTTCGCTTCCAGGGAGGCCAGAAAAATACGAAAACGAGTGCATTCTGTTAATTTCACGGGACAAAAATGAGTAACTAAATGGAAGAGACCTAAACCTAGCTAGGGCCAGGGCCCTGTCATAAGCCGTCTTGTGCTGCTCCATGCATGTGTGGTCAACTTCGCTGCCAATTTTGTTCATTTTTGTTTCTCTCGATTTCACTGGAAGCTTAGCCCTTAGCTCCGCTGTTTTGAGTAGTTTGGGTAATTTATTGTAGTAATCTTGCGCTTTTTGTTTCAGTGCATGTTTACAATGTTTATTTCTGTGGAGCCTTTTTCCAGATGGGTCCTCGTTCCCATTTTCCGTCAGCTCTATTCCACCCTCGTCACCAGACTGTTTTACATCTAAATCGTCGTCAGACATAAAATCGCTGCTGTATTCGTCGCCTGAGTTTCCCTGTAAAAGAGATAATAGATCCGGACTAGACAACCCTCCACGAGACTTCCTAGAACGACTTAACTTTTTGGAATCTCTTAGTCTTAGGCCAGTTGAATCTGCGCCTTGATCGCCTGCTGCGTCGAACTCTCCATCCGAGACCTCATCTCCAGAATCAAAACTCAGGTCGATATCACTTGGGTCCAATCCCTTGTTTAATCGTGTCCGTTCCCGTCGCTTAGAGCGCGCGAGGGACTTGACGTCGATAGCGTCGGTGTCGGACTCCGTCACGTGATCACTGAACACCACCTTACGCCGACTTTTCCCTTCGTTACCTCTTGCATTTTCTTGTTCATTTTCATTTTTTGTTGTCATTTGTTTATTTCCCTCTTCATTTTCACCGAAGTCATAATCGTAATCTTGGAACTTCGTATCAAAGCTCATACCCTTAATGTCCTTGGAAGTTTTATCTATTAATTTTTGGAAGTCATGTAGATTGTCTGTTTCACCGTCGGTGTTTGCGAAGTCAAAGTTAAGGGGGCTGTCTCCCGCGTCTGCCCTCATCTTCATCAAAACACGATCATTGTAAACCCGTTCGCTCATTAGATAATAACTTTCACGTCGCTTGGGAGCCCATTGGACCTGTAAATGAACAACACGTGTTCATATTCAATCAGACACACACTGGTCTCATGCACTGCAGTCGTTTGGTCCCATCACGCAGCGCGTTCTAAGCTTGGTGGGAAGAGAACCCGTTGCATGACGAGACCAGACAAGGGCTGCGAAGGACACTAATCGGGAGAATGAGGGAGTAGGAGGCGAGGGTAAGTAGTTTCCCATACATTCTCTCTCTCTCTCTCTCTCTCTCTCTCTTTCTCTCTCTCTCTCTCCCCCTATGGTGGGGCTGCCGTGATCTACAAGGATGAAAATGCAGTGCGATTCAAAGACTGAAAAATAACACTAAATTCCCGTAAGTTAACATACCAAAACTGGTAATTTATGGGCCCCTTGTTCCCTTGCTCTGAAAAGCAAAGCTGCGCATCTCCTCTGATGATGACGTAGTTCGTTTAAATCATATCGAGGCCGAGGTCTTGTTCCAAATCGAGAGGAGACTGGTGTTTTCATTGTTGGTGTTAACTTCTTCTGCGCCGAAGCTTTTTTCTTTTGCTCGATCAAAACGTCAGCGCATCGCTGGCGCTCACTCTTCAAAGCAGCTTCAACTTTCTGAGGATAACAAAATAAAAGATGATTTTTTAGAGCTTAAAGGAACGCTAACCCTCATTTTATTAGCGATACACTCAAATACTGGACCAAACGACGGAGAAAACCTCTCTTAAGACAGATTAGTGTTGTTGCTTTTTTCCCCTTCAACTAGAGATTTCAAAGTAGACAAGAGATTTCCTCCGTTGTAGCTTTCTTTTCTTTCGTCCCATTTTCATATGGAAAAGTCATCAAAAACTTGTGTTCAAATGGTTACCTGAGCGTTCAAAGCACTATCACGTGCAAAAAAATAAGGGTTTATATAACAAAAGGTTTAAATCCCTCAAAGAGAACACAATTGGTTGAACTCAAGCGCGGGAAAAACGCGCGTGACCACGTCGCGAATAGTTCCTTTCTGAGTATATGATTACTTGAGAAGAAGGGATGACTTCTTAGGACCAATCACAGAGCAAGTGCATGAGGCTCCTCAGAGATTCAAACTTGCGTGCAAGCTAGGCACTAGTACGGTGTCAGACTTTGCATTAATACATCTATAGCAGCTGTGCGCATGCACGCATGAGGACTCGCGCGTAAAACATAGGAATACTCACTAATTAAGGAAGGCAAATTGTACGTGACTTACCTTTCTATAATGCTCTCCATAAGTCATCTGCGCGTATTTGGCATCGAGAGCAGGAGTCATGCTGCCCAATATGCGATGACCGGTAGTAAAATGTCGGCCCTGAAAACGAAATGATATAATGATATGCATTAAATAAAAAGGTTGCTTTTTACATATGAAGCAGGCCTCATCTGCAGAGAAACAGTCCTGTCTCTCTCTGTGTTTTCAAGGAGGGACTGGTACACAAGGAATAAGTCGTTCACTCTGCAAAAGAGATCGGCAACGATACCTCCTAAGGGTTTTGGTTTGTCATCCGCCATGTGTTTCTCGTTATCTCAAGCCTAACTTCTTCCTAAGCGTTCTATGCTCTTTTTTTGTCCTCGTCGTATTCCTTAAAACGTAGATTCATTGGAAAAGCGCAAGGGTTTGTAATTTGTTGTCCCTTATCCTTCAAACGTGTAAAGTCTGAGCTGGACGACTATCCGACCCTTTTTGTGTCAAAAAAGTCAACCCATCACGAATATTTGAAATGGAATTACTATGCGTGATGAAACACGTGGTCGACTATTATTTACAAGCTCTCTCTGACTTTGAAAGCATTTCAATCCAAACGACTGTTTCATTTACTTAGCTGAGTGTTCGCAGTGGAGCAAAGAGAGCTCTTATCCATGATAAACTAGCAAAATCTTGATTAGGAAAAATTTAATTAATTTACCGCCGAAAGAAGCTGAAAGTTGAAACGCAAAGCTTAGAGCCGGTTTACATTCAGTGTGCAGATACAAGCTATGCTCGAAGCTTTGTATTACATTGTTTACAAACACTTTGAGAGGCAAATGAAAAGAAACAAAGCGCGCAGTCATTTAAGCGACCAAACTATCCTCAAGAGACTTATTGCACAAAAGATTCAGCAATTTTAAGAGAAAGATAATTGCGGAATCTTCTTAATCGAAAAGTGCCTTCCCAAGAGATTGGGGCTACTGTGGTAAGACTAAAACTAAAATTTGCATCCGAAAAATACGTCAAAGAGGGCTTTATTTGCAGCGGAAGCTATTGTGCAAATAATGTTTC